GCAGCCCTCCCCACCCCAACCACACATAACGTAAACAAACAAGATGAACGCGTCTGGTTTTCGTCACAAGTCCTACAAGTTGCCTGGCTACCACATCTAATTTTTTTTTTCTTTTTTCAACAAGTCGGTGGGGTGTATTTAGATGGATTAAGCAAAATGTCTATATTAACGTTTTATACGATATTTAATGCTCCTTAGAGTGATTATTATTGTGTTATTATTATTATCATTATTAATATGGCATCGTCAAGACTAATAAAACACTCTTAATGATTTTAATGTGTATCTGCATGCCAGCACAGTGTGTAAGTTTACTTAAGTACAAGTACACATACGTATCAATTATAATAATAATGTAGGTATGTAGTCCGCTTGGGCTACATACCTACGCCTACTTACATACCTACACAAAATTTAATGTGGTTCAGAGTCATATTATTGCCATCGACATACCATGTTCACTGAGTTTAATCATTTATAACTACCTTTAGCCATCATAAACAAAGGGAGAAGTAATGCATAATTCAAGCCAAGAATTGTAAACTAAAGCGTTATGTATTAAGGGGAGTGACATAATGTTTTCCCTCCGCCAGGCTACCACACCTCCATAGTATATAAACAAAATGTTTATATACTATGTAACGTGTTTCTTATATAATTTTGAAGAAAATATAGATGGATTAATGAAAATGTCTATAGTGATGTAAAATTAGATATTTAACCCCTTGACTGTCGCAACCCCCAATTGTGAAGTGTCTCCTGGTGTTGCAAAATTTAAAAAAAAAAAAAATTATTTTTTCTTATGAAATGATAATCTTTTCCCAATTGTAATGACACCAAAAAAACAAAATTTGACGGAAAATTGACGGAATTACGCTCTCGCAAAGTTAGCGACCTCGGCGATATTTACAAATCGACAATTTCACCCACTTTGAGCCCTATTTTCGACTAATTCCATTGTTCCAGTCGACCAAACTCATAGCTATTTCTTTAGAACTCCATTTTTTCTATCGATTGAGAACAAGAAACTGCCCATTTACCGATTTCAACTACCCAATAACGTGGTCAGAAATTTGCAATTTGGCCAATTTCACGAAAATTAAAATATATGACAATTTCAAAATACGGTCCAGTGAACAATGTAGACATTCCTGGCTCTAAAATAACATTTTCTTGGTTCATCAGTCACGTCTCCAAGCCCTCTGATATTGCTCTTGCTTTCTATTTTGAATTTTTATTCAAACAAAAAATAGATTATTTACTGTTATGCAGACTACTGCAATACTGTAATAATTGTATAAATAACATTAACCAATTCATGACTGCATATTAGAATGGCTAGTTGGACATTTATTGAACAATGACATCATTTGTTTACTTTTGAATATCGGCAAAAATCAAACATTTCCCCTACTTTGAGCTCCATTTCCATGTTCTTTTTATAGTAAAATCAATTAAAATCACCTCTGTTTCTATAATATGTTTTCCATTCTAACAAATGAGACCAAGAAAACGAGAATACAATCATAAATACTATACGAAAATAGACCACAAAGTCGGCATTTTAATTTAAAAAAACGGTCGGAGTTTTTTTTTTCTCATGCACTGCATGCTCTCGGATTTTTTTTATATGGTGCACACTGACTACACACACCCATTCTCTCACATGTGGGCCTACCAGCTTTCTCCTGCTTGATTTGAAGCCGCTAGAATTTATGAGTATAGTATATACGTCAAACACGGTACCTCGTAAGACGTATATATACGACCTCGACAGTCAAAGGGTTAATGTGCCCAAGATTGATTATTATTACATAATAGAGAGATGTGCTCATGGAGAATGTAAACAAGCCAGGTGGCCCACGTTGTATTTGAAAGATCACTTGCCGTATAGAAAGTTTTGGTCATAATTTGAGATCACCATATTAGCCGAACGCCGTAAGGTGAAATGCCAAAAAGTGGGGCCTTACTGTATACACCATACTAATAAATTGAGTGTTATGTATATGCTTAAGTCATAGCATGAGCAGTACTGTATTCTGCATGGTGCATTGAATGCAGTATCGCTTATGAGGCTATAATATACAGAAGGAGAGTGAAATAGCTGAACACCATGCTTGAGGCTCACTGATGTGCCCGTCACCAGGAAGAAACATGGCTTGTAAGCAGGCTACCTGTAGACACATTCATGGACAGCGATGAACGTAGGTTCAAATCATGCTAGTGAGGCTGTACTGTATTTGTCAAACCTGAATCCACTCTTACTCTCAAACACTTCTGTTTATACAGTTGAAATGTGATTTAAAGAAGGTTTGAAGATTTGTGAGATGGCAGCTGAAATAGTAACTATCGATACAGCAAGCCAATTATTTGTAGATATACTGTTTACAGTAGAGTCCTGTTATGTTATTTCTGAGTTAACAAGGAAAGAACTTTTCCTGTTATTGTATGCACCTTTATCATGTGGTTTCTCAGTCAGGTTTCAGGTTTTGGTGAATGCCACATAACTTCATTTTTCCTCAATTTTTTGCATATTCTTTTTTGGTGCAGTGAAAAAGTGGGAGGATATGTTTCTATTAGTGTTCTTTGCCCTCTCATGCACTTAAAGCAATTTTCCTTAACTCTCATGTTCTCTTATGCCATGTGAGACTAAATTTGGATTTTTTCCTCGAGTTTTTTCTGACTAAATACATTTCTTTTTCACTAAAGTGTATGGCTGGTGCATGTATATTTGTTACAGGATTATCAGCAATGTTCTGACTGATGAAATTGTCTGGTTGTTTTGTACGGTAGATTATAACTTTAGGCTTTGTATCACTTGTCATTGTATAGTTTTGGTGGAATGTTCAGGAATGTCTGTAGCCAGACATTCCTGAACATTCTCATACAGTCTCATACTGGGGGTTAAAATGCCATGATAAACTATCCACCCTGGCTGGACAATGGCTGAAGGGTAAATGGTTTTTTCATGGCATGGTAGCCCCCAGCCTGAGACTGATCAGGTCACATGGCAGGTATGAAGCCAGACATGCATTAACACTCCACCATAACGATAGAGCGACAAGTGTTACAGAACCTAAAGTTATTATGTCTTGTACTAAACAACTAGACTACACTACCAGTCAGAATACTGCTGATAACCCCATAACAATGGTGCGTTCCATTCTCATAAGATGATGACTTGAATTATCTAGATATATTTGGTAAGGAACATTCCTTATTGCTTTTTCCAGTTGAATTTATTTATATTTTTTATGCTTGTTTGTTTTTGTGTGATATATTGAAAGCCAATTTCAACTTTACCCATACAATTAATTTTTAACCCCTTGACTGTCGCAACCCCCAATCCTGAGGTGTCTCCTGGTGTCACAAAATTTCAAAAAAAAAAAAAAAATACACTGTATCTATAAAAATTTATTTTTTTCTTGCGAAATGATAGAGAATCTTTTCCCGATTGTAATGACACCAAAAAAAAACGAAATTTGATGGAAAACTGACGGAATTACGCTCTCGTGAAGTTAGCAACCTCGGCGATATTTACAAATCGGCAATTTCGCCCACTTTGAGCCCTATTTTCGGCTAATTCCATTGTTCCAGTCAACCAATCTCATAGCTATTTCTTTAGAACTCTGTTTTTTCTATCGATTGAGTACAAGAAACTGCCCATTTATCAATTTCAACTACCCAATAGTAATGTGGTCAGAAATTTGCAATTTGGCCAATTTCACGAAAATTAAAAAATATGACAATTTCAAAATAAGGTCCAGAATGAACAATGCAGACATTCCTGTTCATCAGTCACATCTCCAGTCCCCTCTGATATTACTCTTGCTTTCTATTGTGAATTTTTATTCAAACAAAAAATAGAAGATTTACTGTTATGCAGACTACTGCAATACTGTAATAATTGTACAAATAATGTCAACCCATTCATAACTGCATATTAGAATGGCTACTTGGACATTTATTGGACAATGATATCATTTGTTTACTTTTGAACATCGGCAAAAATCAAACATTTCCCCTATTTTGAGCTCCATTTCCAGGTTCTTTTTATAGTAAAATCAATCAAAATCACCTCTATTTCTATAATATGTTTTCCATTCTATCAAATGAGACTAAGAAAACGAAAATACACCCATAAATACTATACAAAAATAGACCACAAAGTCGGCATTGTAATTAAAAAACAACGGTCGGAGTTTTTTTTTTTCTCATTATGCACTGCATGCTGCAGGATTTTTTTTATATGGTGCACACTGACCACACAGACCCATTCTCCCACATGTAGGCCTACCAGCTTGCTCCTGCTTGACTTGAAGTCGCTAGAATTTATGAGTATATATATGTCAAACACGGTGGCTCATAAGATGTATATATACAACCAAAACAGTCAAAGGGTTAAGATGTATACTATATAGAAAATGTATGTTGTCGTCTTTCAACAAACCGGCCGTATCGCACTGAGGGAGGGTGGTCCACAAGAAAAATGAAAGTAGACGTGTTTTTTTTTTTTTTTTTTTTTTTTTTTTTTTTTTTTTTTTTTAACAAGTTGGCCGTCTCCCACCGAGGCAGGGTGACCCAGAAAGAAAGAAAATCCCCTAAAAGAAAATACTTTCATCATCATTCAACTCTTTAACCTCACTCACACATAATCACTGTTTTTGCAGAGGTGCTCAGAACACAACAGCTTAGAAGCATATACGTATAAAGATACACAACATATCCCTCCAAACCGTCAATATCTCGAACCCCTCCTTTAGAGCGCAGGCATTGTACTTCCCATATCCAGGACTCAAGTCCGGCTATCATATATAATTATGACTTTTTCTCTCGTGCAGTATATTATCTGTTGTTCTTATAACTTAGTTTCCTACCCTCTAATTTTCATTTTTTTTTGTTTTTTTTTTAGTTTTAATTTAGAACAAAGACTACATTTTTTTATGTGGTGAGAAGCAAATGTCATAGTTGATATTTAATGCAAGTTTAATGGCCTACAGGTGCTGAGGAAAGAGAATTAGATAGTCGCAACCAGCAAAGATCACATGCTCTTGCTGGAAAAGTATCATCATTGCGATCAGTGAGTATATGCACAACTTTCATTTTGCGTCTTGTATAGTGTATCACTGATTATTCTATATTGAATACAACATTTTAACACACTGAGTATTTAAGTGAGGGGTCTCCAGCACTAGCCTCAAAACGTTTTAAGGTAAGTGTGTTATGTAATCACAATTCTAGCTACAGCTTTTCATAGTGTTACTCCTTAATATCTGGAAGTGCTAATTCACCATACATACTATTACTTCATATCTTAATCATTTTAGTATCCGTAGTTTGGAGATTAGAAGGTGCGGGATTACCAGAGGGCTGAGTAGGGGTTATTGAGATGGTTTGGACATGTAGAGAGGATGGAATGAAATAGAATGACTTCGAGAGTGTATAAATCTGTAGTGGAGGGAAGGCAGGGTAGGAGTCGGCCTAGGAAAGGTTGAAGGAGGGGGTAAAGGAGTTTTTGCGTGCGAGAGGCTTGGACTTCCAGCAAGCATGCATGAGCATGTTACATAGGAGCAAATGGAAACAAAGGGTTTTTAGGACTTGACGTGCTGTTGGAGTATAAGCAAGGTAACAATTATGAAGGGATTCAGGGAAACCGGCAGGCTGGACTTGATTCCTGGAGATGGGAAGTACAGTGCCTGCACTCTGAAGGAGGGGTGTTAACATAAGAACATAAGAAAGAAGGAACACTGCAACAGGCCTACTGACCCAAGCGGAGCAGGTCCATGTTTCCCCCCCGGATTATCCCAATGACCCACCCAGCCTGGTCATCTCCACTCAAGGATGGAGCACTGCACCAGACCCAGCAGCACAAGCTAGTCAGGTCAATTCACACCCACCCACACCCACTCATGTATTTATCTAACCTATTTTTAAAACTACACAACGTTTTAGCCTCAATAACTGTACTAAATGTTGCAGCTTTGTAACTGTAGTGTAAGCATGCTTCTGGCAAGACAGTGATGGAGTGAATGATGAAAGTTTTTCTTTTTTGGTCTACCTTGCCTTGGTGGGAAATGGCCAATATGTTAATAAAAATAAAAAATAAAAAAAAAATCTCAGGTACAGGTTTTCTTAAGACTGGGGGACATTCACTACAATAACTCAGATTCAAGATGCACTATGCTTCAATATACCAGTGTGGTGTATTGAAGCATGGTACTCTTATGGAGAAACCAAAACAAACAGTAAAGGGTAATAATAAATAGATAATGGGTAAATTGTTTAACTACAATCTTTAGGCACACTGCCTGCTTTAGCTTTATTTTGAATTTAGTAAGATTGTTGAAGTTTTTCAGTTCATCTGTTAAATTATTCCATACCTTTGGTCTTTTAATTTGATTAGAGTTTCTGTAGATACTCAGTTGAACATGAGGTATTTGCTTCTGGTGTGGTGCCTATGTATTCTGTTACAGTTTTCTGAGAACTGCTTGAGTTCAGTGTTAGCATTACAATGCAGTGTTCTGAATACGTGGATTGAACAGTACATAGTATAAATTGTATTTATATTTGGTAGGTTGAGGGATTTAAATGAGGGTATATTATGTTGCCTATCAGTAAGAGTTTGTAATTATTCTGAGAACTGCCTTTTGTTTAGGTATAATTGGTTTGAGATCAGTTTCTGAAGTGGATCTCCAGGCACAGATTCCATAAGCATGATATGGTGCGAATAACTTGGTTTATCCAAAAAGTTTTTCTTGCTGTGCAGTATCTGGTGCTAATTTATACCTAGTTTTTATTTTTTTTTTATTGTTATTTGATTTATTGTTCAGTTTATATTTTTGACAGTTTCAATTGCCTCATCAGCTCATTAACTATTATTAAGTCCATACTACTTAGCCATACTATTCATGTAACATGCCTTGCATAATTAATATAAAAAATTTCATGCTGTGTCAGTATTTCTTACATAGCAATCATGTTGTATTACTTTGCATATTTTTCCTTTACTCTTCATTTTTCTTTCTTCTTTCAACAAACCACCCATATCCCACCAAGACAGGGTGGCCCAAAAAGAAAAACAAAAATACGATTCATTAGTATTGCATAAAATTTTATTTTTGTGCTAAGTGTGCATCTTTAACTTTCTACATTCTGCAAATTTCAAGAATCTGTTCTACATCAGGTTACTTATTATGATTTTAAAATGAAGTTTGGATTGTCATCCAATAAAGTTCTGTAGGAAAAAGGAGAGATAGTGATTTGGAAAGTTGTGATTTATCGTGATGCAGGTAACCTATTTTATAAATGATTTATCTTCTTCATTTGGAGGTTGGTTGCAGTTTTATAATTCATCATGATGAAAATCCGGAGGGATTCTGCGCAGAGGTTAGGGTGGATTTGTCTGAGTATATTAATGCCAATGAGGATATTTCTGCATTCAAGTTCCAGGATTCATGTAAGGAATAGCAGTCTCAGTGTTTAGCCTCTATAACACTGGTAACAGACTATCAATATTTTTTTTGTGTTTTTTTCTCAATTTATTCTTTATTTTCATTCTCCTCTGCATTTGCACACCTGCTCTTCCTTGCTGATTCACTCAGCAGGCTTCAAGAACTATTAAGCTGCCTGTGTCTTTGGTCAACACTTCTTGTAAAAGTGGAGTCTTAAAGGTTGTTTACCAATACTTAATTTAGTTCCTTTTTACATTTCTCCTGAAATAATTCTTTATGTACCAGTACATTGTACCGCCCTTTATTCAGTAATTGTTATACTCTTAGTTTTAATTACAATTAAAGGGCCACTTTCAGGTGTTATAATATTTTTCCTTCTTGTCTATATAGTCACATTTATTAAAATACTCCATGTGCTTTTGACTATCTCATGTGCTACTGTTTTTGTTTTTTAATTCATTCTTTGATTATATTCACTAGCTCCTTTATTTTAGCTGTAAATATCTACTGTAGCTCATAAACTCACATTTGTTAAAATAATTAAGGTGCTATTTAGAACATAAGTGTATAACCAAAATATCTTTTCTATAATAATCCCTAGTTCTTTGATATTTTTAAAAGTTTTAGAATAATTACATAGTATTATTCCTAAGTGTAGTTGTAGATTCAATGTAACTCTTATATTATTTTACTCAGAAAATCTAGTGTGTAAACTCACTCTCATCTTATGATTACAGACATAGATCCTGATGTAAACTTTTTACTAAATGAATTACACGAATCAAACAGCAACTGTAATTACTTTACAGCAGACCAAGCAAAGACATTACTCAGTGCAAACAATAACTTAACCATCTTTAACTACAATGTCAGATCCTTGAGCAAACATTATGACGACCTTACTGCATTACTCAATTCCCTTCATTCCAGTATATCAATCATCACACTCACAGAAACCTGGCTTAGCCTGATATTACAGATGTCTATGCCATTCCTGGCTACATGGCCATACACAACTGTAGAACAGACCAGCAAGGGGGAGGAACAGCTGTATACTACTCAAACCGACTCAAATGTATCAATAAATCTTGCACAAGGGATGAACATGGAGAATATGTCATAGCCAAATTTAAATCAAAAGACCTGCAAAAATCCCTCACAGTTATAAACATCTACAGAGTACCACAGTCAAACATTTACCGCTTTAGTGAAAAAGTAGGAAACATGATTACTGATGCACACATGAATAAAGACCACCTGCTACTAACAGGTGATTTCGACATAAACATACTACACGACTAGGACCCACAAGTAACCGAATTCACAAACACTATGAGCAACTGCCTGTTGCTACCAACAATATCTAAACTTACAAGAATCACCGAGATAAGTATCTCCTTAATAGACCACATCTGGACAAATACCATATCCCCTTTAAAATCAGGCATAATCACAGATAACACTACGGACCACTACCCAACCTTTCTCATAACTAATCTGGGCAAATTGTCAGAAGACATTACTCAAGTAACCTTCAGACTACATAACGAGACAGCTGTTAACAACTTTATAGCATCTATGAATAACATCGATTGGCAAAATGAGCTCGAAACATATACAGACATGAATGTATAAATAATTTTCTAAAAAAAGCCCAATGCCTCTACAACAAACATTGCCCCAAAAAACTAAACAGATCACAGCAAAGAGACTAAATAGTCCCTGGCTAACACCCAGCATCCTCAAATCCATTAACACAAAGCACAAATATGAAAAACAGTATAGAATGGGTCAGATAACTAGAGAACAGTCTAAACGTTACTTGTCAGCTCTTACCAGCCTGATAAGAAGATCTAAAAAATTGTATTATGAAAATAGATTTCATAACTTCAAAGGTGATATGAAAAAAACCTAGAAAACTCTATCTGAAATTCTTGGAACTAAAAAGTTATCCAAAAACAAAACAATCAAACTAACAAAATCAGACGAACCCCTACTCACACCAACTGAAACAACATACAGACTCAATGTTTTCTTCTCCACCATAGGAAAAAATCTAGCGAACAAAATACCAAGCTCAAACGCCCGTCCATCAGACTACCTCGTAGGTACCTACCTAAATACGCTATTCCTAGCTCCAACCAACCCACTAGAAGTCTCGCTCATCATCAACACCTATGTACAAAAAAGCTTCTCAAGTATTGTCACCAGTTATTGCAACACACTTTAACAAATCCATTGAATCATCTACCTTCTCAACAATCCTTAAAATAGCAAGGGTCACTCCAGTCCATAAAGGAGGTGACCAAGCTGACTTGAATAACTATAGACCAATATCTAACTTACCACTGCTCTCTAAAATCTTTGAAAAATTAATTCATAGACAGATCTATTCCTACCTCGTCTCACACAGCATATTAAACCCTTGTCAGTTTGGATTCAGGAATAATAAAAGCACAAATGATGCTATCATACACATGCTAGAACTAATATGTACCGCACTTGAAAAGAAAGAGGTCCTGCTGGGCATTTTCATTGGTTTATGTAAAGCTTTTGATACAATCGACCACAAACTTCTGTACTCCAAATTAACGCACTATGGTATCAGAGGATACTCCCTCAACTACCT